TGCCGACATCGAGTCGCTCAAGCCCGTGCCACGGTCCTTGGCTCAGCGACACCAGTCGAATAATAACCGATATCCACTAGTACTGAGTGCGACTTAGGTGTGGACAATAAAGCATGCACACCATAGGAAATTATTGCGCACCGGGTTCACATTGTGTCACCCCAGAGAGAGAATCCGGTATCCCTGATCATGGGGAGGCCCTCGCGAGACTTTAGAGTGGATTGAAATTACCCTATCCGAAGTGGAGATGTCAGGAGATGGTTGGTCGGCGTTGGTGGGAGCAGATGTGGTGAACGAAGCCGACTCGAGCACCACAAAGTTAGGCAGATTGGCGACATTCCTCACTTGAATGTAGCCGACATAGATTGAAGTGCAATAGCAAAGGTGCGGGTCCCATCGCAGTGGGCCAAAGGACTTCCCACGGCAAGTCGGCGGAAAAGTTACTCATCTCTCCAAGTTAATTCAAGTATCCTACTGAGACAACACTCCCCTGAGCCTTCTGTCTGAGCCCCCTCGGAGGCTCGGGTCTTGGGGAGGGGTTCTTGGGCAAAGGCTTCTTCAGAAAGGGGCTCGCCACGCCTGATTTCGAGGCTTCTGATGGTCGCGATATCATGCTAAATTTCGCCGTCGCGTATGGGCCAAATGGGTCATTTGAAATGACGAAGTCAGAGTCAACCGTAGCAAAGTCTGTCGGACCCCGGAATCACCAAAAGAAACGTCCGCTGATCCGTCCGAGTCCTCGGCAGAGAAAAAAACCCCAAGTAATCGTTCTTCGCATGATTCACCACAATTGTGAAAAATGCTGTGCTGTGACGACAGATTATTGCAACTGGGGTCATCTCATCGACCATTCCGTAAACTCAAGTGAACCAAAGCCAGTCGATTGGTGATGGTAAACATGCCAACGTCACACTACACCAACGTGCATGCAAACTGTGCTTAATCAATGATGGAGAGTAGTACTCGGAGCCGAATACTTCCAGACCATGTCATGTAAAGGGATACACTATGAAACTGAGTGAATATTGGCTTTGCCCGCCATTTTCAATTCGTGTAGAGTCCGCCATAGTGAATGTGAGAAAGCTACCATCAATCATAGTCAATAAGCCTCCACTTACAGTGTGTTCGCTTTTGATAGCCCGAAAGGTAAAAAGCGCATATCTTTCCAAATACACATAATTTTACAACCAAACTCCCACATAATCAGGCTGTGTATATAGAACACTGCTACAATGCAAAGAGAGAAAATAATAATAACCACACAGGAAACTATAAGAGATATCGCAATCAAGGATTCAGTCAGCAGTCTCATTAGGTTGAGCCAGAACGACCGTGAGCATGCAGCCATTGACGTCCGAGTTCCCAACAGTCGCCCCTTCCTTGCCGAGCATATCCTTCACACTGCGCCCCGGTGGAGGCAGCAGCTCCTTCAGATCAAACGCCGTCAGAGCGACCTGCTCCCAGTTCGCCACCAGTGCCAGGAGATCCTAAGCAGACATAACACTTCCAATGCCAGCAGCACTCAAGCACGGGTAGTTAACTTCGGCATACAGGAGAGTGAATCTCACATATGTTTCAAAGATCTTAAAGCTTTTCGATGATGACAATAAGAACAGATAACGAGTAATATTATTGAATGCATACGAAAAATTATACAAAAAGGCAAGGACGATGATATATATGCGATATGATATATATACACATGGCTAGCGATATGTACTGAGCCTAGCATGACGACTGGCAACGATCACCGAGTGACCTCGATAGGACAGTGAACCCTCTCTCCAAATACTACCTCAAGCGGCTGTCCCTTCCCCAACACAGCCTTCTTCCTCTCACCATTACTCGTCCTAATGCCTATCCTCACTACATCCTTATCTCCATCTGCAGGTAGACTAGGCATCGGTGGGACCTCGGCCGAAGGGGCCTCTGCAGGGCCACCAGTCATAGGGGCATCAGAGTCTGGCGGCGACGACGAAGGGCTCGAGGACGATGTTGGTTGGGATGGCGGGGCCTGGGCAAATAACATATCCAAGAGCATCTCCAGCTAAGCTTCTACAGAACGACGATGGTGTCTCCTGCTGGGAGGTGGCTTATTGAAGTCGTATCGATCAGTGAAGTCGGTCATTTTTTGCAGCGCTTCGATCGGCTAAGAAGAAGTCTCTGTAGGTCACCGACGAACAACAGCAGCCGCTACATCCGATGAGAATTTTTGAACATCCCATTGCTCACATTTCCGCCCAGTTCGAGGGTCTAAAACATGCACTAGAGGTAGAGGTGCCTGAATCACCACACAAAAGCTCAATTTCGTGGCGCGTGACGGCCGAGGATGCCGCTACCTCGTCATCCTTGCAGTAGTAGGTGAGATACTGTACGGCTTCGGCCTCTTCTTTCGACCTCTGCCACAATATAAAGCTCGTCTTGAGCAAATCCTGCACCATTGATTGTTTCCATATATCCCTGAGAAGTAGATAAATATTTCTAAAACTTTTACTCCACGATAATCCATCATCCAAGGAATATTTGGGAAGTACGACTAACGCTCAGTTGCAGCTATCAAACATAATCGGTTCTGTCCAATAAGAGTGAAGATAGAAAAAATGTTTATAACGGCTGATGGATGAACAAACGAACTAACAGAGGATAAGATATAAGACACCTATATGAATCTGGTTGAATATGGGTAACTCATAGGAGAGTCTCCTAAGGAGGCCATGCATTATCATATATCATGAAGACACCACATCGAAATACGAGCATTACCTGTTCAGACTGTGGCTGACGAAATTCTCGTTGTCCTGTATGTTCACGATGAGCCACCGTTTCTCACACCGAGCTTTGGCAATGACCTCAGCAAATGGCAGAGGCGAAGACAGGCCCTTCGGAAGGTTAAAAAGATTCATAAACGCTGAGGAAGGGAAACCCGTCAACTCGTGAGTGAAATGCTCGCGAATCGCCACTGTCAATCTCAACTACTCTTACCCTTTTCGCCGTCATTGACCGCAGATGATTTCTGCTCATCATCAACCTCCTCCTCGTCTTCTTCCTCTTCAAAGTAAAACTCCTCGTCCTCCTCCTGATCCTCACTCATGTGCGTATCACCATCATTGGAGCTCCCTCCTCTACCACTCGTCGACCCCATTCTAACGTAACTGCTCAGCTACAAATCATAAGCCCACTCCTGCCAACACCTACCTGATGTTCCTTCTCTCAGAGCCCGGCGCACTCCCCGGCTGCGATCCTGCTGGTGACGCCAGAAGGGTGTCACGGAACGCCGGGATAGCCGCTCGGACATCTAACACACCCCATCCACTTTCCACTTGAATACCATCATCTATCCTACTCTCCTCGGGGACAGCAGCTCCTCCTACTCCAACATCGAAATACAACGAGGCAGCCCGATCCAAATTTCCATCAGCCATCTCAATGTACTGCTTAGCTTCAGCCGCTGTAGGACAACCAGTGAGGCCCATAAACGACGCCACTGTGTCATCCACATTTGCCGAGCCGCTCGATCCACCACCACTCGACATGTATTCAAATTCAACTACGCATTGACGTTCTCTATTCTCATTCACCCAATCACAGCACCGCTATCATTCATGACCGACGTACCCGATTTCTCACCCCACCCCGTACAACCACTTCCGTTATTCCCA